CATGGTGCGGTAGATCTCCGGCGCCGCGCGCCGCAGGTCCGGCGGGAGGCTGAGGTTCCATCGGCTGTCCTCCTGCTGCTGCTGGGTCACCGGGGCCACGGCCCACCCAGGGGAGGCGTGCATGCCCCCGCCGTGCGGCGCTGTGGCGGAGGAGAGCAGCGCGTCCAGCTCCTGCTGCAGCGAACCACCTGGCGGGGACTTCGTTCCTGCGCCCACGTAGCCGTGGGTCTGCAGCACGCGACGGAGGTCAGGATGCAGCCCCATGGAGCCATCCACCGCCGCGATTCTCTCCCAGAAGTGCCAGGCCCAGTACACGTTCGTGGCCGCCTGCGCCTGGAACTCGCGCAGCGTGGCGCCCACCATCTGGACCTCGCGCCCTAGCTTCACCGCGTCTGCAGGAGCATAGGGCGCGTGGAAGCTGAGCCCCGACGTTGGCACGCCTACCTCTGGGCTCGGCTGTGGCTGCTGCTGCTGCTGCTGCTGCAGGGCCGCCGTCTGGCTGAAGGGGCCTGGCACCTCGGACCCCTGGCCGAACGCCCGCAGCGCCGCCAGGTCCTGCGCGCCGGGCTTTGCTGGCGGGGCGCCCCCGCCCACGCCTTCGGCAGGTGGGGCCCACGGCGACGGCGGCAGCGCTGCCAGCCCCGGGGGGTGCAGCGGGCCAGTAGGAACCTCCGTGGCCCCCGCGCCACCCCCCTTGGTCCTCGGCGGCGGTCAGGTCCAGGCCGTCCCCGCCGCTCCTCAGCGCCGCGGCGAAGGCCGAGCGCCGCCTCCAGCGTGCCCACCAGGCAACCACACGCTCGGGCACGCGCCGTACTAGCAGGACGGTGCCACACAGCCCCACAGCTGCGCCTGCCAGGCGGTGCCGCCCGGAGTCGGCCCCAAGCACCACCACCAGGCTGGACAGGAGGAGCCCTATGCCCAGGTGCAGCAGCCAGTCGGTGGGCAGCGTGCCGCCGTCGTCGCCGACTGCACGGGCCCAGATCCGATCCGCGATCCTCTCCCAGCCATCGGTATCGGCCGCCACTCTCCTGATCCGGCTCTCCGCCTGCGTGGCGTACGTGGCGGCCTCAGTGAACCCCCAGAGGGCCTCGGCCATCTCAGAGCCCGGGACCTCCGGGTTCCCCAGCGCCAGGCGGATGGCCACCGGGTCCAGCGCTGCCTCCAGTCGTCTTGCCTCGTCCAGCTTCGAACGGGGGGCCCGCCCCGCGTTCAGCGTCGCCCTCACCTTCAGGACGAGGCTCGCGACGTCGTCGTCCGTAACGTCAGCACCAGCGGCCCGCAGCGCGTCGGTCCCCGCCTTCTTGGCTCCTGCCGACACTGCCATCCTGCCCTGCCTGGCGTCGTAGCGCCTGTGGCGCTCGGCGTCCAGCACACCTGCTCGCCGCGGCCTGCTGCTCCTGGGCAGCCCGCCACGGCCTCGCACAATCTATGATTCCATGGGTGGAGTCCGCTGCTCCCGTCAGGGCGCCATGCCGCGCCCTGCTGCGAGGTGGGCTGGGCGCCCAGTCCTCGCGATAATCTGTACCAGATTGGAGCCACATGAAACGGTTGCGGAGCAGGCCGTGCAGCACACGCGAGGGCAGGGGGCCTTCACGGGCAACCAAAACCAAACCTACCGAGCCCACCCGTTTTGGAGGGCCGAGGGGAGCCAGGCCGGGAACGTGGCCCACCGGCGAAAAGGCCCCCCACAAGCTGGCACGCCCCTGCGGGCTCCGAGGCTCCAAGGAAAATTCCACGATCCCACCCCAAACTGTCGGTGCACATCAACACTCATGCTCTACGATTATTATCCCAGCATCAACAGCATCATCATCATCAACATCAGCATCATCATCATCGCCATCATCATCATCATCCTCATCAACATCATCATCGTCATCATCATCATCTTCACCACCCTCACCAGCATCAGCATCATCATCATCATCATCAGCATCATCATCACCGTCATCATCATCCTCATCATCCTCATCATCATCATCAGCAGCATCATCATCATCGCCATCATCATCATCATCATCATCATCGTCATCATCATCATCATCACCAGCAGCAGCATCAGCATCAGCATCAGCATCAGCATCAGCATCAGCATCATCAGCATCATCATCGTCATCATCATCATCATAATCATCATAATCAGAATCAGCATTAGCATCATCATCAGCATCATCATCATGACCACCACCACCATCATCATCATCATCATGATGGTGTCCGTTTCGACCCACCCCTGGAATGTTTTGCTGAGGAGGCGAGAAGTACAATAAAATTGCTTCAAGGCTTGCTAAACTCAGTTTGCCGCCGAGCTCGGCTCGGCGGGGGACGGTGGGGGGGTCGCGATAATCTGTACCAGATTGGAGCCATATGGTACGGTTGCGGAGCAGGCCGTGCCGCACACGCGAGGGCAGGGGGGCCTTCACGGGCAACCAAAACACAACCTACCGAGCCCACCCGTTTTGGAGGGCCGAGGGGAGCCAGGCCGGGAACGAGGCCCACCGGCGAAAAGGCCCCCCAACAAGCTGGCACGCCCCTGCGGGCTCCGAGGCTCCAAGGAAAATTCCACGATCCCACCCCAAACTGTCGGTGCACATCAACACTCATGCTCTACGATTATTATCCCATGATGGTGTCCGTTTCGACCCACCCCTGGAATGTTTTGCTGAGGAGGCGAGAAGTACAATAAAATTGCTGCAAGGCTTGCTAAAGTCAGTTTGCCGCCGAGCTCTTCCCACCTCCGCTTGCGAGCTGTATGTGTCTCAACAGCTTGGTCCTTCACCCGGGGCACAAAATGTGCTCGGACCTTGATGAGTTGAGAAGGAACCTGGAACACAATCAAAATTGAAAGCAAGCCCCCCAGGCCCGCCCTCGCAGTGTGCACCAGAAAACTCCTAAATCTTCGGTGACCACCCTAGACTCCGAACAAAACGAGCTGCAAAACACTCTTAACTGCCATATATACAGCACGAAGTAGCCTACGGGCAATGTTGATCCAGGCACCTGGGAGCCTGGCAACTTGGATTTCACGATCAGTCATGGACATGTAGCGTATCTCGGGGAGTGGGAGCCCCTCCAGGGTGGAGTTTATGTGCGCCACGACTGTATCTCTCTCTGAGCTGATGTCGCAGTCGAGGCTGCTCCAGACTGGGTTGCTCCACTGGACCTTGAAGTTTACGATCCGCTCGACCATGTGGACTCCGTAGAACCCGGACGGCAGCAGGTCAAGTGTCATGTGCAGCTCGCGGTATTGACTTGGCCAGGTCATCATCTGCCATCTCTCTGACATGTGAGGTATGTTCACCGAAGCTTCAGAGATCGCGGTGGTGACCTGCTCGGCTCCTGGCGGGCGAGGCTCGCCTGTCAGGAACTCGCGCTCGATCCAGGCTTGCAGGATCGCGGGGTCGTCCGCTAGCCGCTCGGCGTGGCGCTGGCGGACGTGCAGGTTGGTAATGTCGACCCCGCGCCAGGCTTCCTGCAGGAGGCTCGCCGAGCTGCGGGACGACGTCACGGCGAAGTCAGACACGCCCTGCGCTGCCGTGATGACTGCCCCGAGGCTGCTGTCGACCACTTTGCCAGCCGAGACTGATACGCTGGCCACGACACCCATCATGGTTCCGAGGTGGGCGAGTGGCCCGGCCATGTAGCTCCACCCGATCAGCATCGCGGCGACCGCCGCCCACGTCACTCCCCGAGTAGTCGAGCGTCCGCACCACCTTGCGATGAGCCAGGCCGCGCGCAACAGCGACCAGCTGCTCCAGCGCGCGCGCCTTTGCCCCGCGGCCGCGCCCGCTGCTAGCGGCTGCGCCACCAGCGGCTGCGGGGGCCTCAGTGCCGCCACGCCTGGGGCCGCCGGCGCTGGCGCCTCGGCCTCGGCCGCGCCCGCGCCCGCCGCTGCATCCCCCGGCTGCTGCGGACCCGCCAGCAGCCCATCCACCAGGGCGCCCAGTGCTGGCGCAGGCGACTGGGCTGGGGCCCGCGGTGCTGGCGAGGCCACCCGGCGGCCCCCCGCCAGCGGCGCTGGAGGGACTCCCTCTGTCGGCAGCACCCAGGCGCCGTCCTGGCCCTTGCGCCAACCCGCTGGCGGCATGCTGGAGGCCCTCCCCCTCGCCGAAGATGCCCTCCTGGAAGTAGTAGGGCAGCTTCTCGGCCGTCTCGCGGATGAGCGGTGCGATACCTCGCTGCTCAGCCTGCACCAGGACCCGGGAGGCGGTGACGACGTCCACGTAGATGTGGAGGCTGGACTCGGTGAGCCCCCGTCCTGCCTCCTTGATGTCCTGGAAGGGGACACCACGAGCCACGGAATCGCTGGCGAAACTTGGCGCGCCGAGTGTGGCGTCCAGTGAATGTCGAGGCCCAGGGCTGCTTCAAACTGCTTGAGCCGATGCCTGTAGTCGACAAGCGAGTAAGGAAAGAGGAGCCCCTCGGGCGGCGTTCCCAAGACTACTCGGTGCAAGAGGTTCTCCAGTACTCCGCCCTGCTCCAGAATAATGGCGAACTGCATCCTCTTGGCCTTTGTCCCCGACTTGGCTCCCAAGTGGCTAACCCAATTTGGCTGCAAGTCATGTCCCCCTCTCGACGATGGCAAGGATATGTCTTTTGCTCTGAGCTGAAGCATCTCCGACGGGCGCAGGCCGCGGTCCACCTGCAGTAGCAAGCCTACGCCCAGCCGCGGCACGCCCCAGCAGGAGAAATAGATAGCGGCCAGGTTGGCCGGCGCGCGGCCGAGCGGCGGCGCGTGCTTCACCTCGGCCGACACTCGCCATGCGTCAGTCACCGAGTGGGACCAAGTCAGCTTCCTCCTCAGGCGTGGGAAGACAAACTCCACTGCCACGACAGCGTACTCGAAACTGCACTTGGTCATCTGCATGTCGTTCTTGTATTCGACAAGCAGGTCGTCCCACTGCTTGGGCCCGTCGGGGACAACACCGTGCTCGTCCAGGTAGGTCACGAACTTCATAGCCGCCGCCCTGTAGGCTGCCAGGGTGTGCGGCTTTACCTTCTCAACAGAAGTGCTGTTCAGCTTCCTCGGCCCCGACATGAGGTAGGCCGCGGAGCTCAGCACGAGTCAGGCACCTCGATATCTTATCAGCAGGCTGCCTGAGCGTCTCCACCCATGGAATCAGAATCTTCGTACGAGATGCCATCCCTGCTGCGGTCTTCTGACGCAACAGGTGGTTCAACATCTGCGCCGGGGACCTCCCCTTGCATACCGCACCCGAGACTGGCTGGTTGTCCTCCAGGATCGGCAGCACGGTGCGGTGTAGAGCAGGAGTGGCGGCCGCCAGTCTGCTGATCTTCACGACGCAGCGCCCCTCGCCCAGCGTGATGTGGTCGGCCGCCCGCCACCTCCCCGCTCCTACGATCGTCCAGTCCTCGTCGGGCTTGAACACTCGATCGGGGAGGAGGCTGAAGGGCTTCGTCCGACGGATGACCTGCTCGGGACGCCGCAATCCAGTAAGCTCGCCGTCCAGTCGCGCCACGGCGTAGCCCAAGTTGCCGCCCGTGTCGATGAAGTCCTTCGCGATGTCCTCGCTCATGTCTGTCACCAGGATGCCCCAACCGCCGTCGTCCTCCACGTTGGCGCCCATGGCGTCCGCCGCGAAATACACGGGGGCTGGCGGGGCTCCCAGGTCGGCGTACATCAGTGGGACTACTCGAGCCATAGCCCGCAGCTCCCTGCGGACGGTCGCCCAGGTGCACACCCTCTGGTGCGGGTGCCTCTCCAGGAGCCTGAAGACGGCGCTGGGTATGCAGAGCAGCTCCCTCCGAAGTAGTGCGCCCCAGATCCACACCCCCAGGAGCGACCGAAGCTCCTCGGTGTGGAGGGAGCGGGTGGCGCCCATCGCCCCCAGCTGCTGCACCAGCTCTCGTGCCCTCTTCGGGGGCAAGCGTAGCTGCGCCGGACGCGCCTGTGGCGCGTAGCCCAGCACCTTCTGCATGTCGCTGGCCTCCGTGCGGTCGGTGACCACGAAGCCGGCCTCGGCCAGGGCATCCGCCAGCTGGTGCATCTTCCCAGAGGCCCGTGGGCCACAGCCGCTGCCACCGGCCATCACCACCCCGTCGTCGACGTGTAGGTAGAAGGCCATCTGCGGCCCATCCAGCACCAGCCCCCGACCGCGAAGCACATCCTCGTTCCGCACGGCTACCGCTGGCGTCGTAGTGCTCCGCGAGCTCCAGGCGGTGACCGACCTGTCGGCCTCCGGCGGCCTTCGCCACCCGGTGCCGCCCAAGCCGGTCTGCTCGAAGATGGCCAGGGTCTGAACAATCAAGGAGCCCAGCGTTTCGCACATCTTCTCGGGGTACTGGGCCAGCGGGCTCGTGCGGAAGGTGCCGTCGGCCAGCTTGCCCTCGGCCGTCTCGTGGGCATGGGACCCGTCACACCGCAGCTCGTTCAGGTCCTCCAGCCCCTGCAGCGCGCCGCTCAGGCACGTGGGCTTCTTCGTCCGTCCGCCCAACATGCATTGGTCCAAGCACGCTCTCCGCGACGAGCGCCTCGTCTCGAAATCCAGCATCTCAGTCGTGTTCCAGATGGATGGGTAGGGCGCATGCCCTGGGTCCTCCGGGTGCTCGATGAGGAAGGCGCCGCCACTCTGGCCGCACGCCTCGCAGAGCGCCAACAAGTTCAGCGTCAAGGTGTTACTCTCCGCGACTCTGGCGGCCTCCCAGTCCCTGAGGCCTGGCAGCCCCCAGGGGCACCGCCGCGAGCGCACGGGCGGCGGACCAGGTCGGCGACGATTGTAGCGTGCCCGCGACCAGGTTGAACAGGGCGGACCGCCCAGTATGATATCCACCCAGCCGCCCTCGCACAGCTCCATCAAGGAGGAGAACGTGGAGGGGTTGGCCAGGTCCCACCGCGGGTCGTCCAGGAGATCGGCGGAAAGGAAGAGCACCCTCAAGCTCCGCTCCTTCGCCAGCCTCTCTACCACCTCCTGCACGTCACCACGCCGCCGACGGCCAGCGAAGAGATGCATCACCACCATCACACGCTCGTCATCTCTCTTCGCCCGCCTCACTGTCTCCAGCCACTCCGCCACGCTGTAGCCCCTCGGGCCAGGCGGCGCAGCCCGGCAGCTGCACTGCTGCCCTAGCCAGTCGTCGTCGTAGCGGTGCTGCTGAGCGTCCTCAGGCTCGGCATCCCCGCGGCTGCCAGCCTCCAGCCCCCCGTCCTCGGGCGGCGAGGTGCGTGGCGCACCGCAGGCCGCACCGTCGGCGGGAGCCGCGGCGCCCGCGAGCGCCCCCAAGCGTGCGCCTACGCCCAGCAGCGCCCTGCCGATGATCGCCATGTTGACCGTCATGAGCAGGTGCACGGAGTGCGAGCCGCCCATGGCCAGGCGATGGTAGCAGGGGGCTATCCAGCCCGTCGGCCCCACCCTGTCGCGCATACGCTGGCTGAGCTTACCCCACACCCAGCAGGCGCGGATCGGCGGGCATGCCTGCCACCTGGCCATCCAAGCGGGGACGCGGAGGCGGGTGAAGGCGTTGTCCTCGTCGAAAGCAGCCACTCCCCACTCGTCCGTCGGGACACACATGGAGGCGATGGCCGCCCCGCCGTGCATCCCGTGGTCGCCGCGCTGGTGAGGGTCCGCCCACACGTAGTTGCTGGCACACATCATCAGGACCTTCCGCTGCTTAGCGGGGTCCTTCTTAGGTACACAACTAAACCCGCAGTAGGCCTGGACATCGTTGGGGTCCTCGAACGTCCACATGTCCTTCGGCAGATCGGCCCGCATCAGGTAGCGGGCGTACTCGGACGTCGAGCCCCCCACGAAAGCGAAGCGTTCCTCCAGCTCCTCGAAGAGAACCCCGGACTTGCCGCTGTAGTCCAGGACGTTCTGCTCGTCCGAATAGTACTGGCGCTCGCCGTCGGGCAGCGCCTCCAGCAGGTCCACGACCATGTCGTCCGGAGGTTCTGCCACCGCCGCTGCGCACATCATCACGTGCTTGCTCACACCCTTGCGCTCTCCAGTGTAGGCGTCCTGCGGCCCTCTGTCGCAGGCAAGATCCGCCCCTTGACCGCCTGTCGGGGCAAGCCCCCGGCAGTCGCGCTCGTACCGCGCTGCGTCCTGTAACGCATACTGCTGCACGAGCTGCCAGGCCAGCATCATCTCGTTGTCGCTCGCTTCGCGCTGGCCCGTTGGTCTCGCCTCCAGGGATCCGCGGTCCATCCCGTTCATGAGCTCGATGAGCCCACAGGCCCGACGCCACACCCGCATGCGTCGTGCCCAGCGCGTCCTCAACCTGCCTGAAGAGGAAGCTCCTTGTTGTGGCCGATGAGGTAGAGGTATGGGAAAGAACGACCTGGCCTCGGCCTCCTTCCACTGCAAGGCCTGCGTCAGCGAGCCTGACAAACCCGTCACTGGCATTCTAGGCTGCACCCGCGGCGGCGGGGCACCTGCTCGGACCGAGGGCGGGTCGTAAGCCCCTCGGTCCGCCAGTGACCGTCAGGCCTGGGGTTTGCCCCGGCCCGAGGGCTTACCCCCTCGGCCGCGGCCGCGCCCCCCGCCATCGCCACCTCGGCCTCGGCCGCCACTGGCTACCTCGCTGCCGCCCCCCGCTTCACCTCCTTGGCCCCCGCCACGGCCGCCGCCTCGACCCTCGTGCTTGATGGCGGCGTGGACCCTCTCGTCGCGCTGGTGCTCCGCCTGGCTGTGGGTCGTGGCCTCGGTCACCAGCCATGTCGGAGCCAAGTCGGCGGCTGACCCGGGCGGGCGGACAGCCACCATGGCCGCCCCCCCAACCTTGTCCTTCGTCCGCATCTCGTAGACGTAGCTCGCCAGCCGCCTCAGGTGCAGCTCCAGCGCATCGTCGGACGCCAACCGTGTGAGCAGCTCGGACTGGTTCGCGCAACCGCCCAGCAAGTAGTCCACGTTGGTGGCGGCAGTCCACAGGTCGGTCCAGGCCGCCGTGTGTCGCTGGCCCGTCACCTCCTGCGACAGCCAGTCCCGCGCGCTGGCCGCCCCCGCGCCCCGTATGGTGCGGTAGATCTCCGGCGCTGCGCGCCGCAGCTCCGGCGGGAGGCCCAGGTTCCATCGACTGTCCTCCTGATGCTGCTGGGTCTGCGGGGCCACGGCCCACCCAGGGGAGGCATGCATGCCCCCGCCGTGAGGCGCCGTAGGGGAGGCGGCCAGCGCGTCCAGCTCCTGCTGCAACGAATCTCCTGGCGGGGACGTCGTCCCCGCGCCCACGTAGCCGTGAGTCTGCAGCACTCGTCGCAGGTCAGGGTGCAGCCCCCTGGCGCCATCCACAGCCGCGATCCTCTCCCAGAAGTGCCAGGCCCAGTCCTCGTTGATGGCCCCCTGCGCCTGGAACTCGCGCAGCGTGGCGCCCACTATCTCCACCTCCCGTCCTAGCTGCACCGCATCTGCAGGAGCGTGGGGAACGTGGAAGCTGAGCCCCGAGGCTGGGACGGCCACCTCTGGTGTCGGCTGTGGCTGCTGCTGCTGCTGCTGCTGCTGCATGGCCGCTGTCTGGCTGGAGGGGCCCGGCACCTCGCACCCCTGGGCGAACGCCCGCAGCGCCGACAGGTCCTGCGCGCCAGGCTTCCCCACAGCGGTACCCGCGCCTGCGCCCTCGGCGGGTGGGGCCCACGGCGGAGGCGGCAGTGCTGCAAGCCCCGGCGGGTGTAGCGGGCCCGCAGGTTCCTCCGCGGCCTCGGCGGCGGTCCGGTCCAGGCCGTCCCCGCCGCGCCTCCGCGCCGCGGCGAAGGCCGAACGCCGCCGACAGCGTGTCCACCAGGCGACCACCCGCTCGGGCACCCGCCGTACCAGCAGGACGGTCCCGACCAGCCCTACAGCCCCGCCAGCCAGGCGGTGTCGCACTGAGTCGGCCCCCAGCACCACCGCCAGGCTCGACAGGAAGAGACCTATGCCAAGGTGCAGCACCCAGTCGACGGGCAGCGTGTTCCCGTCGGCCCCCACCGCTCGGGCCCAGATCCGATCCGCGATCGTCTCCCAGCCATCGGCGTCGGCCGCCACTCGTCTGATCCGACCCTCCGTCTGCGTGGCGAAAGTGGCGGCCTCCGTGAACCCCCAGAGGGCCTCGGCCATCGCGGAGCCTGGCACCTCGGGGTTCCCCGACGCCAGGCGGACGGCCACCGGGTCCAGCGCCGCCTCCAGGCGCCGTGCCTCGTCCCGCTTGGAACGGGGGGCTCGCCCTGCGCTCAGCGTCGACCTCACCTTCAGGACGAGCTCGGCGACGTCGTCGTCTGTGACGTCGGCACCCCCGCCCCGCAGCGCCTCGGCCCCCGCCTTCTTGGCGTCTGCAGACACGACCATCCAGCTCTGCCTGGCGTCCGCCGCGCCGCAGGCCCACAGCGCCCAGCACACCAGCCCGCCGCGGCCTGCTGCTCCTGGGCTGCTCGCCGCGGCCTCGCACAATCTTCGATTCCACGGGTGGAGCCGCTGCTCCCGTCAGGGCGCCATGCCGCGCCCTGCTGCGAGGTGGGCTGGGCGCCCAGACCTCGCGATAATCTGTACCAGATTGGAGCCATATGGTACGGTTGCGGAGCAGGCCGTGCCGCACACGCGAGGGCAGGGGGGCCTTCACGGGCAACCAAAACACAACCTACCGAGCCCACCCGTTTTGGAGGGCCGAGGGGAGCCAGGCCGGGAACGAGGCCCACCGGCGAAAAGGCCCCCCAACAAGCT